ACTTAAGGGCTTAAAATTTTTTTTCCAAATTGAATGGCGAAATCTCCTCCAAGTAGCGTGAAGAAGATGATGAATTTGTAGGGTTGTGTTTGGTTTGATTTTCAAATCAATTTTTGAGAGTTCAAAAGCCAAAATTTGTTTGGTTTCTAGTTTTCTCAAAACAACATTCAATCACTTTTTCTATTTCCTCTCTCATTCTCTTATAGCTTACATATCATTCAATAACTTTTTCTTTTACACCCATCTATTCAATTACAAAAAAATTTCAAATCATCCCAAACTACAAAACTATTTTCAAAATATACAACCAAACAAATTTTTAAAATTTGAAAACTATTATTTTTCAAAATTGATTTCAAAACCAAACAAAATGGACCCTAGCTAGGATTTTGACATAAGGGCTTCATAGCTTAATCCCAAATCAAGTTTGTAAGTAGAAGAAGATACTGAATTTGCAAAGTTTCATGGCAAATTTTGAATTGATTACATGGTTTTATATATTTAGAATTGTGTGTAAATTTTGTATATAAAATTCTATTGGAGATAATCCATATTTACAGGCATAGACTTGAACTTCTTTTATAATTATCTTCGATTTATTTAGAGATAGATATCAAAATATCACTTTAATAGTGTGCAATAATTTTAATCCCAAATCAAGTTTGTAAGTAGAAGAATATACTGAATTTGCAAAGTTTCATGGCAAATTTTGAATTGATTATATGGTTTTATATATTTAGAATTGTGTGTAAATTTTGTATATAAAATTCTATTGGAGATAATCCATATTTACAGGCATAGACTTGAACTTCTTTTATAATTATCTTCGATTTATTTAGAGATAGATATCAAAATATCACTTTAATAGTGTGCAATAATTTTATTGGAATTTTTTTTTTGTCAATAGATAGAAGAGTGATTACAAATATAAAAAATATTTATATCATCAATTAGACTACTAGTTCACAAAACCTAGAAAAGCCCTGTTTGGTAGAGCTGTGGGAAAGTACTTATAGCTTATGCCTAAACAGCTTATAGCTTATAACTATGAATATAAGCTGATTTCTAACTTATTCTTAAACCATCTCCTGCCCCACTCAAAGAATAAGCTGATTTCTGACTTCCAAAAAGCTATAAGCTATAAGCTATAAGCTAAACCAAACACATCAAAATAGCTTAAATTAAGCTGCCAAACAGGCACAAAGTCAACAAAGCCTAACAACCAATACAACAACTAGCCCAAGCCCAACACAACCACCACTAACACTCTGTTTGGATCGTAAGATGAGGTGAGAAAAAAAAAATGATTGTGGTTTCTCACCTAGGTGAGAAAAGAAAAGAAATGATTATGATTTCTCACCATATTGTTTGGATGAATAAAATAGAAGAGAGTTTGGTTTCTCATCTATCTTGTTTAGATAGAGTAAATTAGAAAAAAAAGAAAGGAAAGTGTTGTATTTTATTTTATCAAAATAACCTTCCATATTAATAAGCTATATTTTTCATAAGGATAATTTTGATATTTAAATATTTTTTTATTAAACCCAATGCTTTTCTCACAAAATCTCACCACTTTTGGTAAGAAACAAAACATAGGTTTGGTGAGAAAAGGATTCTCACCATCTCTCATCATTTCTCGTTATTTCTCACCTACTTAACCATCCAAACAAGTTAGGGGATTTAATAGTCTCATCATTTTTTTTCTTTTCTCACCAAACCTCTCCATCCAAAGGGAGTGTAAGTACATAAGCCCCATTATGGGAGGAGAGATAAACCACTGCAAAGTGTATTAAATTCCTCTCCATAGGAATTGAATTCGAGACCTCAAACCACAAATGGTGTTATACAATCACTAGGTTAAATGTCATAGTTACATAATTTTATTGGCTTGATCATCAACATATGATAAATGACTTAATTTGAGTAGCCAAAGGCTTCTCATCTTGAAGAGATTACATCATGACAATTTGTGATTTAACTACCTTGTAATCTTGATTTGAGATCAATTAGACACGTGGCACAATTTGATTTGTCAATAATTGTATCATATTTTATACACCTTTGTAATATGTGACAATTTGTAATTGGCTGAAATTTCATGCTTACATATGCGTGGGGACTATTGTAAGAAGAAAAATGATATGTGAGTTTCACACCCATGTGAGATATTTGGTAAAATATTTGATAAAATATTTAGAATTCCTAACATTACTCTTGTAAGAAATTTATATACACGTGACTATAACTATTATACGAAAATTAAATCTAACAGAATGTTGAATTGAATTCAATACATCTCACAAATAATTCAAACATACTTTTGTTGGCTGTTGAAATTAGAAAAATTGAGAAAATACTCTTTGGACTTTCTTAATAGTGATGACTAGAATACTTTTAGTGATTGAAAAATATTACTTATATTGAAAATGGAGTCATCCATCTTTTTATAGAGAAAAAAAAGGATAAAATAAACTTTATCAGAAGAATTCTATCAAAAATTTTTACTTATCACAAAAGAGTACCATATTTAAAATTTTATTTTTTAAACGTTATTTAAATATTAATTTTATTTAATTGTGAAGTCCAAACACATGAGAATATGTAAAAGAGGCTAATGGGCCACACCAAAATATGAAACTAAAAATAAAAAATAAAAATATCATCAATGAATTTGCACATTTGATTTCAAATTTTGATGGTTCCTTTTTATCTGAGTTATAAGGCACCGATAAAGCTTATGGGAGATAAAAAGGGTGCCTTTTAAAAAAAATAAAATAAAATTGCCATTTAGAAAAAAAATTCAGTGGTGATGCACTCTTAATAATTGGAAAAGACTTTTTAGTTTTTTGGTAATGCCTTTCTTTTAGTTTTTAGTTTAAAAAAATTGGTTTCAAAACTTTTGAAAATTGAAAATGAAAATCCATTTGGTAACTGTTTTCCTAGGTAAAAAAAAAAAGAAAAAAAATTGTTTTCCTTGGTTAAAAAAAAAAAAAAAAAACAAAATTCATTATTTTTAAAAACAGAAGAAATGTTTCACTTGTTTTGAAAAACGTTTTCATTCCTTCTCTCTCCTCCTTCGACAACTCCCTTGTGACTACTCCCTTCTCTACCAACCCCCGTATGCTCCCCCTCTCCAACAATCTCTGGGTACTCCCTCCTAGTATATTCTTATCCAGTCACTCTAACCTTCCATTGACAAATACGCCGGGCGTCTCCTTCACTTCCAAAAATCACCTTCCAACAACTCATGAAATATATTTTTAATTTTTATTTTGAAAATATGTGTGCGCATTTGGAGCAGCTAAAAAATGAATCGAGGAGGTTGGATCCCCATTGTGAAGCGAAGAGGGGGCAAGGATCAAGGAGAGAAGATAATCACCTAGGTATTTACACACTGTTTGTGGATAACCTGCCACAAAGTATGGATCCTAAGGGTCTGTACAACCTGTTTAAGAAGTTTGGAGTGGTGAATGATGTCTTCATTCCACAAAAGAAAAGAAGAATAACTGCCTCCAGATTTGGCTTTGTGAGATTTGGCTGTCAAGTAGCAGCAAGTGTTGCAGTGCAAAAAGCTAATGGTTTGTGGATGGATGACAAGGTCCTAGTGGTAAAAAGTGCTAACTTTGGCAGGGAGAGGCAAGAGAGAGGCTATACGAAGCCACAGGCAAAGAGTCAAGGAATACAAAGGCCATAATGGCGTGACTCAGGTAAAGGAATGAATCAGTTTGTGCGTCATAGATCGTTTGTGCAGGTAGTAAAAGGGGAGAATACTGGTGGAATGGGGGCTGTTACAGTAAAGGCAGAGGAAATAGGCAATGGATGGTTATATGAGAGTCTAATTCTACGTTTGAAAGCGAAGTATGCCAATGTGAATATGAAGATGGAGCTTGAAGCCAGAGAAATGAAGGAAGTTGAGGTGAGGAAGGGTGGAGGATGAGACCTGATATTATCTTTCAATTCAAAAGAGGAGATGAAATTAAAAATGAAGGATGCAAAGGAGATGTTTGGGGACTGGTGTGAAGAGGTAGTCACAGGGGAAGTAAGGAAAGTGCTAGAACAAGAACGGTGTGTGTGGTTAAGTTGCTATGGAATCCCTTTAAATTTGTGGAATAGAACCAATTTGCATAGGATTGGGAATTTATGGGGGGAGATTCTCTGCACTGAGGGAGAGCTAAGCCAGCCACTATTGTTCAACTGTGGAAAGATGAAGATTTCAACTAAATACATGGAGCCAATAAATAAGATGATCAATATGGAGTGTAAAGAAGTACTTTACCCAGTTCGGGTTTGTGAAGAACAGAGGGTGGTTGTTCAAACAATAAAAGAGACATGTGTTTGTAAGAAGCATATGCACTTGGATGATGTGTACAGTGCCAATGAACAGGTAGGTAAGTCTATGGAGGTAAGAAGCAGAGACAGAGAAGATGATGATGATTGGGCAGCTGAGTCAGTTAAGGTGCTTGGAAGAAATGTTGGCATGGCAACATGAGACATGCCACATGGACCAGTAAACAGAATTGAGGTAGAACAGGAGGTGCATGGAAGGAGTGAAACAGTAGTTGCAGTGTCTAGTGAAAGATTAAGGCAGGAGCTCGAGATGACAGTGGGTAAGCCAAATTACGGTTGTGCAGAATAGTGTCAGAATTTTGATGACCAAGTATACACGCCTGCTTTTATGAAAAGCTTAAGTGGGTCTACATTGCTTCGACCTGGAGTGAACTTAGAAGTGTAGTTGGAACTGAATCAGGAGCCTAATGCTTTGGGTGGGCTTCATCCTTCTCAGTCTGGGCCTACTGAGTCAAGTGGGTTCAAAGCCCAAATAAATAATAGCAAGAGTGATGCAAATTTAAAGCTGAAAAGCATTCATCCTTCACAGACTGGGCCTACTGAGTCAAGTGGGTTCAAAACCCAAATAAATAATAGCAAGAGTGATGCAAATTTAAAGCTGAAAGGGAAAAAAATGGAGCAAAAAAACCCACTGTCGGCAGCAACCTCAGAGAATGGGATTTTTTGATCTTGTAAGGAGATATGGACATAAGGGTGCTTCAACAAGTAAGCCAGCTCCAAAGCATGCCCTGCTGAGAGCAGCAGCTGTAGAAGCCTCAATATCGTCATCTACTGAGAATGGGAATGTTGGAGGAAGAAGATTCTTTAATGAAGCTGAAACAACTGTACAGTTGGGCAAAATATTGGGTGTGGAGTATAATGGAACAGAAGAGGAAGTTCTTAGCAAAATAGTGGAACTGGAAAAAAAGGATAAGGAGAAGCTTGGGGGGGGGGGGGGGGGGGGGAGCTTGGAGGGGAAATGGGGCTACTGCATAGGGTGTTTGTGGAGGTGTGATTTCATTGGAGTTTAATAATGTTTCCTATGAAGATACTGATTTGGAATATTAGAGGAATTGGAAGGCAAGAGAAAAGGGGAAAGATCCGGAAGTTGGTGAAGGACAGAAATATAGATATAGTGTTGATTCAAGAAACAAAGAAATCTGCTATTACAAACAAAGAAGTCAGAAAAATGAGGGTGAGGACTAGAATGGAGTTCATGTCAGTGGATTCTGAAGGTATAGCTGGAGGTTTGTTATGCATATGGGACCCAGAGGTATTTCAACTTGGTGCTTGCTGCAGTAGCAGACGGTTCATACTCTCATCAAGTACAATATCTAATTCCTTTGAGTGTGTCTTACTGAATATATATGCACCGAATGATGTGGGTAGTAGAAGAAAGCTTTGGGATAGTTTGCTTAATCTGAAACAAGGTTTTCCTAAACCATGGTGTCTGTGTGGGGATTTTAATGAAATTAGGAATATTGGTGAGAGGAAAGGCTACTCCAGTAGAGAGAGGGGTATGACTGAGCTCAATGAGTTCATTGAGAATAGTAAAGTACAAGACCTACCTTTATTAGGAAGAAAGTACACATGGTGTAATTCCAGGGAATGTGTCAAATGGAGTAGGATAGATAGGGTGTTGGTGGATCCGAGGTGGTTGGAGGGTTTTCAATTAAAATTATGGGGTTTACCTAGGCTCATCTCAGATCACAGTCCACTACTCTTGATGGAAGATGAAAGGGATTAGAGTCCAAAGCTGTTTCGATTTCTAAATTCTTGGTGTCTACATCCAAATTTATCATCTTTTGTGGTTAAAGTTTGGAAGGAGTCAGAACCTAATGGTTGGGCTGGATTCATATTACAGAAAAAATTGAAGGATTTGAAATTAGCGCTTCGACAATGGAATAAGGAGATGTATGGGTCTGTGCCTAACAAATTGAAAGCAGTAGAGGAGGAAGCTCATATCCTTGATATTCAAGTAGAGAGTAGAGAGCTAGATTAGCAAGAAAAAGCTAGAAGAAGAGCAACTTGTGAGGAGGTATGGAGACTTTATAGAATGATGGAGTGGACGTGGTTACAAAAATCAAGACTGAATTGGAATTTGAAAGGGGATCGAAATACCAGATTTTTCCATGTGATGGCCAAGGGTAGACAATGTAGAAATGAAATAACATCCATGGCCTTTGGTGGTTTAGTGATTGAGGATCCTAGTCAAGTGAAGTCTGCAATTTTTGAGCACTTCAAGAAACAATATTCTGAGGAGTGGATGTCAAGACCTAAGTTAGGAGGCCTATTCAAATCAGTGAGTAGCAGTCCCTATTTTGATATGTTGGAAACTAAGTTCTCAGAGTCAGAAATTCTGGCAGCAGTGAAGGATTGTGATAGTAACAAGGCACCTGGCCCAGATGGTTTCAACATGCTATACTTCCAAAAATTCTAGAAGGTGAAAAAAAGGGGAGTTCTTAATTTTATGAAGGAATTTTATAGGAATGGCAGATTGGTGAAGGGTTTGAATAGCTCCTTTATTACTCTTGTCCCTAAGAAGGAAAACCCTATGGGATTAACAAATTATCGGCCAATTAGTTTAGTAGGATCAGTCTACAAAGTCCTAACTAAGGTCCTGTCAAGAAGATTAAAAGAAGTGCTACGCTGCATCATTAGTGAGACCCAATCAACCTTTATAGGAGGGAGGAGCATATTAAATGGGGTTCTGATTGCCAATGAAGTGGTAGATGGGTGGAAGAAATCCAAGAAGCAGGGTGTGATCATTAAACTTGATTTTGAGAAGGCGTACGATTCAGTCAACTGGGGGTTCCTACGTTCTATGCTTCTGAAGTTTGGATTTGGGTTAAGATGGGTTAAATGGATTATGGAGTGTGTTAGTACGGCTAGAATTTCAGTACTGGTAAATGGGTCTCTAACTAATGAGTTTAGTCCTCAAAGGGGCCTTCGACAAGGTGACCCTTTGTCCCCCTTCTTGTTCAACTTGGATGCTGAAGGTCTCAATATGTTACTGACAAGAGCATACCAGATAGGAATTATTAAAGGGGTGCAAATTGGTGCAAATGATGTGATGTTGTCTCACCTGCAATTTGCGGATGATTCTATCCTTTTTTGTGAAGCTAAAGAGGAGGAGGTTAGAAGCTTGAAGAGGATCTTGAGGTGTTTTGAGGTGATGTCGGGCCTGAGGATTAATTATCATAAGAGTTAGGTTTGTGGAGTGGGTATGTCTGATGAATCTTTAGCTACATTTGCATCTATTTTGAATTGCAAGATCAAGAAGCTGCCTATGCAATATTTAGGTCTGCCTCTTGGGGCTCATCCTAATAGAAAGCAAACTTGGAAACCAGTGTTGGATAAGACTCGTAGCAGGCTAGCTAGCTGGAAAAGAAAGCTTTTATCTTATGCCGGGAGGTTAACCTTAATCAAATCTGTAATTGCATTGCTACCACTATACTATATATCCTTGTTTAGATTACCTCAAGGGGTAGTTAAAGTGATTGAAAGGCTGCAGGCTTCTTTCCTTTGGGAGGGGGGGTCTGAAGTAAGGAGAAGGTTACACTTGGTCAAATGGGCTGATTTGTCCAAAAGTGTGGATCAAGGGGGACTGAGGCTGAGAAGAGTAAAATTGATGAATGACTGTCTACTAATCAAATGGTGGTGGAGGTTTGGGTATGAAAAAAGATGCATTGTGGAGGAAGGTTATTTGTAGCAAGTACAAGGTGGACTTTAGTGATTGGGTGCCCATTTCATGCACAAGGCCTATGTAGACACTCCATTTTTGACCGTCCTTAAGACTTGGACGTCATCGTTTGAACACTTGATGATCATCCATGCTCGTGTTCGTTTTGAGTTCCCGAAAATCTCGGCTGCGCGCCTCGCCTTACGATCTCTTAACTCGTCTGTTTTATGCATGGTTGTGGACCAAGGACTTGTGTTTTTACTTCTGAGGAAAGAGGGGGGGTGGCTTGTTGGCCATCCTCACACCCAATCGGCTATGGCATGATGCCATCGGCCTTGTTTCCTTGCCATCGGCCATAAATGTTGGCCGGTCGGCACTTTTGTTGGTCGGTCGACACTTATTTTGGTCGATCGGCCATATTTTCTGGCCGAGGCCTTTTCTTTTCCTTTTTTAGGCATTGTGCATGCCAGCTGTGCCAGCTGGTGAGCACAGACTCTCCCTCCATACACGTGTATGGAGAGATTTGAACCAAAACTTAGCTTCTCTAAGAAGCTTTGAATTTGATTTCCTATAAGAGGGGAGCCTCCCCTCCCTTTCCAGAGGTTCAGCAAATTGATATAGAAGACATATATATATATATATATCTCTCTCTGTATCTCACCCTCTCTATATATTTGTGTGTGTGTTTGTGACCTAAAGTGTGTTTTTGTTTATACTTTTGAACTAAAGCACCTAGTGGAATACCTTCCTTTGGTTGCTGAGGCACTAGGAAGTTGGTTTCAGAGTTCTTGGGCTGGTTTTGATCCAAGAGAGTGGCTGGAGTTGTGTTCTTGAAGGTGTTCTTCAAGGGTGAGCAACTAACCTTTTGTTTCCCCAGTTTGTCTTAAGCTTTTAGACCTATTTGCATATTGTTTCAAGCTTAACTATAAACTGAAAAAAGTTATGTTTTTATATGCTTAAGATGATTGTTTAAGGTCTTTTTTGGGTTGGGGGTTGTCTACCCTCTCTTAGACCTTATTTGGCATTATTTTGGGTCATCCTTTTTGACCTTTGTTCTTGCTTTGGCTTGACCTTTCTACCACTGAAATCCAGAGGATTTTCAGTGGTGGAAAGGTAGTTTAGAGTCTTGTATAGGAGAGGGACACCCCTATCTCCTTGTGTCCCATATGCTTGTGTTATTGGCTCATAATGGTAGCATGTTTGCTTAGCATGTTTTGGCTTCATTTCAGCAAGTATTTGGTGTCATTTGGTCATGATATACCTCTGTTCTAGGTTGGTTTAATAGCTTCTTGCATGCACCATATATTTGCCTTGTAATCCCCTCTATTGCCTTAACATGCATCTAACATTTGGACTGTCATACTCGCATATTTTGGCTCAACTCAAAGAAACTTTAGGTTATATTTCAGCGTGCTAAAGCTCTATTTGGTGTTGTTTTGATCATATATGCATTGCTTTGTATAGCTACCATACATCCTCACTTACTAGCTTTGAATGTCCAAGTCATTAGCATGCACTACTTGGACCCTTTTTTTTTTTTTTCTCTTCATGATTTGGCATCATCTAATATGTTATTTCAGTCCATGTTTCATGCTCATATACTTGCATTTTCCATCCTTTCAAAGCTTTGAAGAGTTGGTATTTTATGCCTCATGAATGGACCATTGTGTATGTCTCCATGCTTAAGTCTTTAGGATGCCATCTAAGTGGAATTTTGGGATAATTTTGATATTCCATAACTCTGTTTTCCATTGTTTAAATCATGACATGTTTGGTATTGTTAGGTGTAGTGTAACACCCCATTGTCGCCTTGTTTGCCTCATGCCTTTTGGAGTTGTATTCTAGCTTGTGTTGGAAGGTTTAAGCTTGGTTTTGGTCTCATCTTGACCTGCCTTGGGACTGTTTTGGGTCCCCTTGGCCCATTGGGGCTTGCCTTGCATGGCCATGGTTTGAGTCTTTTGGCTAGCTTCAAGCTTTGAGCCTTCTTACATGCTTTGTTTGTGTTATATGTGTGATTTGACATCATTCCTAACATTATTTCAGAGCTTATGGTGCTTTCATATTGTAGACACCCTATTTTTGACTGACCTTAAGACTCAGACGTCACCAACTGAGCGCTTGGTGATGTCGCATGTTGTGCTTGTTCTGAGATTACAGAGTCTCGGCTAAGAGCCTTGCCTCCGGACTTCGGGACGCTTTTTTGCTTTGCCTCGGTTTGTGAATCAAGTTATGTTTTCTCTTCCCGAAGGGAGGGAGAGGTCTCGTAGACCATCTCTCAGTGGCCGTAGGCTACTTTTTGTGGTCGTAGACCACTGTTCCCGTTTGGAGACCAGCTTTCGGTTTTCGGAGCCGTCGGCTGTGCGCCTCGGTTCGGGATTGCTTAACTTTCTCCATTTGCTCTGGTTTTTGGCACACACCTTGTTTCCTCTCTCTAGAGGGACACTGTGGCCCAGGAGACCACCTTTGTTATAGCGATCCCGGGTTTACCCTTGTTGTACAGTGATCCGGACGTGTGTCCGTGGATGTTGGTAGTTGTTTATTATCTTGTTTGCATCCTCTTTACTTCATATTTGAGTTATAGGATGTGTTGGGCAGGTTTTTTACAGGTTGGTTGTGTTTGGGAGCCTAGTGTTGCTGCCCAGATTTTTGGACCTTCGCTCGAGCGAGGAGTTGGTCGTTCGAGCGAGAGTTGAGTTCGTGCCTGGTGGGTCGAGCCAGAGTGGCTTCGCTCGAGCGAGCGATTGCGTCTAGTTCTGGACCTGAGAGTTGCATTTCTTGGCTCGAGCGAGCTTTCTTCGCTCGAGCGGTCTGGTTGTTCTTCGCTCGAGCGAGAAGTCTGTCGCTCGAGCGTGCTGGTTGCAGACCTGTGGGTTTGAGTTGTTGGCTCGAGCGAGTATTCTTTCGCTCGAGCGCACTTCTGAGTTTTTGGCTCGAGCGAGAACTTCTTGGCTCGAGCGAGAGTTTTCTGTGTCTGGTCGCTCGAGCGATAAAGTCTTCGCTTGAGCGAGAGTGTTTTATATCAGCGGATAGTAGCGTTTTTGAACATCACTTTTTCACTTCCTTTTTCTTTCAAACCCTTGATCCGAGACTCTCTCACTCTAAACTTACACTCTCTCTAAGAATTGATCTCCCTAGAGTGTGAATCTAGCCTAGGGCCTTTGTTAAAAAGATAGAGGGCGTTGAGAGCTTTGATTTTATCTGAAAAAGTTTGGATTTGGAGCACGTTGATCTTCGAGTCTTCATCTCCTTTTTGGCTCAAACTTTGAGGTAGGGATATCCTACTCCTCTCTATGAGTTTTGTCTTTAAATTTTAGTATTTT